TGAAAGAAACGAGAAAATAAATTTACTTCTCCTCAAACCGTCGTTAAGAGCGGACCACACGAACCAAGCCATATAGTGCGTCAAGTGTAGTGAAGCGAATTTTACAAACCGCGTGGGTTTGGATTGATTAAAAATTTCTGTATTTTCCTTTTAATTCGATAAATTAACAGTTTGTTCTTAGTGTAAATACTTGTAAATATTAAATAGAGTGATATACTTATTAGTGATAGTTAGTTTTTAAGGTGTAAATAGTAAAAAAAGAGAAAAAGTAGTTAGGCTAGGTTAAAATGTCATGCTTGGGTAAAACCAAGTACGGAAGACACACGGGAAGAAGGTCCCAACTTACCACCAGACAAAGGTAAGGAATGGTTGGAGATATCGTTACCTCTATCTGACAATGACCTCTTTGAGGGATTTCCGAAAGACGAAATGGAAACAAACACAGACGAACAAAGAACAAGGAAAAGACGAGACATATTGGGATAACAGCACTTTTTAGTAGGACGGATACAAAGGCACATTCCGATCCAGAGGTCCATTACGAAGCTTTTCGTATTGGTCTTTCGATAAATTAAGATCCAATATTAACGCAAGAGCTTCCGTCTCCGAATAGGGTACAAAGCCATTTTTGGATGATTGCATAGCCGAACCCATTTTCACGACTCTTGTCGGAGTTGTTTGCGTTGCCTGTTTTACAATGAACGCTGTATCTTCTTTACCATCCTCACGTAATTTCATTTGGGTTGCAAATGCAAGTTCATCTGTTGGGTAGTTAGACCGCATTGCAGACGTCTTGCGTCTCTTAACAACCTCCAAAGATTTCTTCCACGACGGGAAGATCCAGAAGTACAAGGGAAACGATCAACAGCTTTCTGTGGTAGTTTGAAGGGGCTATCGAGATAACCACGACTGCTTTCAAGCATAGTCCAGTTGTGGGTTTCCCACAGTTTTTTTTTAATATTTTCATGTCGCCTTCACAAAATGGTTGATTTCAGCTGCCACTTGGGTCCAGAGAAGTTTTTGACTGTTACGGCATTGATTATGTTTCAATGCCGTAACAGTCAAAAAGTTCTCTCGACACAACGTTTGATTTATCAATGTCGTTTCCCTTAAATTCTTTCCACAGTTTAAAAAGCTTTCGCCTGTCGATTTCAACTGAAATTTTATTTGATAACTTATAATTTAAACTATTTTTGAAATTGTCACAAACAAATAACTTCCATAGATTACTCAATTATATCATGAATTGGAAATTAACTCTGAATAACTTATTAACTACATGGTTGTACTTACTTTCATTGTTGAAAGACATGCTTTTCTCACTTTTGGGATCTGCTACGGAAATGTTGAAAAAATAACCTTCACATTTTCTAAGGGATATGCGTTTAATGCTGCAAAACCGATCAATGTGTGACCAAACATTGTTATATTATCACTGAGCCTACTTCGATTCAGTATTTGACAAATGCGCGCTGACACTGAACTACGGAACGACCTTTTAAAAATACAAAACAATCAACGAGGATACTAAAAGGGACAAATGTTTCAATGGAATTTGAGATCACTTTTGAACAAGCTTTCATCCTATTCAAGATTCACCTGCCGGATTTTGCCGGATTTTTGTCTGTGAGGGCACAAAATATGTAAAAAAAATTACTAAAGTTGTGAATAACTCAGTCTGTGTAATCGATACCTTTTGGACGTCTTGAACAAAGTTTTGTATTGTGATAAAATACATATATTTGTTGAACATTATAGTCTTCTAAAACCTATAGTTTTTTAAATATGTTATAAAAAGTGAAAAAAAATTAAATTTTGTTGAACAGTCATATTAAACGCTACGTATCTCAAAAACTAAGGAATATAGAGGATTTGGATGTTCAGCAAAGATTTTTGTAGTAAAATTATCTACAACTTTGCTCAAGACACCACATACCTACCTTGTAAATGTAAAAAGTTAGATTTTGCAGCGCCGCCTGTGGTGGAGTTCCGAACTAAAACCTTTCACTAGTCTTTGCGCCTTATTTTATGCAAAAACTCTTTTAAAGACACCATAGTGAAAAAACCGACATTGAAGGCGCAAATAAAAAAGTTCGTGATATTGAGCATTCAAACCACTGTGCGGTGTAGTGGTTAGCATCCATACCTCTCACGCCTAAGTCACGAGTTCAAATCTCACCCCCGGACAAGTCACGAATGACCCAAGAGCGTTAAAGTGACTATAATAATAATAAAAAAAAATTGAATCAGTTTAAAAGCAGTTCTTGTGGTTTGCTCTAAGAAAGTTTGGTTGGACGCGTTTTGCACTTCCATCTTATTTATTTATTTATTTATGACTAAACATCAACCAATGATGTAACCTAAACTAAACATGAAAAGTACTTAAATTAAACATCAATGAGTCAATAGTTATCTCGTTAAAAAGGGGACATTGCTAGACAAATTAAACTGATCTAGAAAAAAAAAACGAACTAAGCCTCCGGCGAAGCAACTGGCGAGTCAGCTCAAAGTCAAATAGTGCGGAGACTCTATTGAAGAGTCTCTGTAAACCACCGATTGCGCCGAACATGCTTTAATTAGTTTGCTGTATGGGCAGGCGCAGCATTTAATTATTCCGTAGGGCTCTGGGTTGAGCATTGATGTCAATTTTAGATTTAGATGAGCTCAAAAAGCGAAAAGAGTTCAACATGATTGCTTTTATAAACGATGTAATTTCGCAAAGAGTTAGCAGCCCAGAGATTTTGGAAAATATCATTTTTTATGCCCCCACTCGCTCACTGCGGTATATAAATTTGTTTGACATTTACAATTAATTAGCGGCGCCGGTGGTGTAGTGGTAAGCGTGATTACCTCTCACCCCAGTAGGCCTGGGTTCAATCCCAGTCAGCGCCGCCGGGATGTTCTGAGGCATAACATCTCTGATCACGCCTTCCTTCGGAAGGGAAGTACAGCTGTTGATCCCCGGTTCATGAGTTGATGAGTCGATAGGTAGGGTCCAGGTGTGGGAGCTGCCTCTCTGGCGTCGGTAGCATTGGTGCTCAGCACGGAAAACAAGATCGACGGAAAACAAATCAAGGGAAAAAAAAATTACAATTAAAGAACAGACTATGCCAAAAATAGCCCAGCGGTTCTACCCAGTGTAGATGAATTGCGATGGTTTTGAAAATATTCGGTACGGTCAACGTACGAGTGAAATGAACAAACGATTTCATTATACATCGATGAATATGAGGTTATTGATATTGATCACCGTTTGAGTTTCAAACCCAAAATTGTCAAAATCGGAAACGTTCCTCAAAAACGAAAAAATCAAATTCATTTTGCCATAAATGATTATTTTGAATATTATCGGTTGCAGATCCTAAAACCTCGATATTATTATTACTATTATCAATTCTGCAAAAGGAAATAATCTTCCATCGATCTGAGTGAAAAAAGCAACATAACACGTTCCACAACGGTATATTTGTGTGTAACGAAAATAATCATTTCACATTTGATACTCAAAATCATCCCCACCAAGATGATTATGAATATTGATATGACAATAGAACAGGCGATAATGAATACGTATCTTTGAATGAATAAAAAAGATTGTTGACTTCGAAACTCAGCGGTTGCCTTGATCAAGAGCATGTTATCAAGTCAAAATTCAAATTCATGCAGGTAGTTGGTTTATCTTTCAAGGTTGCCTCCATTTTCAGCTTATTTGAGTGTAGAAGAAATGATTTTTATCAGCACTGCTTGCTTATACAGTGAATTCGTTGACATAACAATGAATAAAAGTACACTTAAACAAACATTCTTCACGAGGCATCAATAATAAAATATAGATGTTATGCAAGTACTCGAAGTAAATAACAACTAGCGTTTAAGTAAAATTGCAAAACGGTCTACACTGGTTGATGACAAATAATTTAATAAATAATGTTGCTGCTTGTTTATCGCATTCTAGACCCACTGGTGGTGTTGCTATGTATTTTAAAAGAATCAGTTCAATTCAACCTTCGTACCAACGAAGTAACTGGTACTTGCACATTACAGTTGTGCATGGCATGAAGATGGATAATTCTCGCGTAACATTTGAAAAGGGCCTATCCTCGTTGATCGATTCTCTTCATCGACTTTCTCTTTGGTTTACCATGGCAACATAAACGAATTTCTCGTTAACAGCACAGCACAGTTCGACAGAAGATGATGTAAGCTTGCGCCTGAATCAACACACTGAAGGCAAATTCATTTGCAGGCGGGTTGTTCGCGAAAGAGGAAATCGAATAAGAGAATCGATCAACAATGATAGGCCATTTTCTCGTGTTGCGCGAGAATTATGGTGGTTTGTATCATTCTCCCAGTTCTAGTGATCAGCATTTTGATGAAGTTTTAGAAAACTGGCTCGAGACAACGTCAATATTAACAAGCATTTTGTAAAATTTACGTGCTGGAGTAAATTTTCGAAATATACTGTTTCCAATCTTCTTGAGAGGAGCGTGTATTTTCCATGACCGGTAATTTAGATGAATCTACAGCTGATATAAATAACGCTTTGAAAACGAGTACCAGATTAATAGTTGCGCAAAAGTTCGTTGCTTTGAAAAACTCGAACAACTGGTACAATTTGAATCTTTTGCGTCTTAAACGGAAAAACAACAAATGGTACAAAAAGTTTTGTAGATAATATAGTACCAATCATTGGAATAGGTACACATCAAAACAACAGCAAAGAGCTATGGTAATTTTGTAAATCTTTATTAAAGTCTTGTAATTGTATACAGTGGTCCATAGCATTAGAACAGTTAGAACAATTAATTGCATCTAAATTTAATGTTTTTTTTTGTCGACAATGTTTCATTGGTCGATGATCCTGCCGAAATAAAACATACGGCTAATAGTAATTGTAGATTTAAAGGTTTTCACCCAACTACATTACATAAACTTATTTTTTTTTCGAACGGCATTTGTGCGGATACAAAAAAAAAAGTAACATTCTTTTTTAATTGTAGGTTTTCTCGGCCCACTACTGTAGAAGAGCATCACTCTATGTCCGGATGCTCTCACAAGGATTTGCACTATATTCTGAAGGAATTGCAGTTCATAACGAATCGAATGAGGAAAGCAGATGAAGAAGCAGAATTGATCAGTGACTGGAAATTCGCCGCAATGGTTGTTGACAGGTAGTTTATACATGTTTATCGATGTTTCGAATGCTGAAAGTCACTAGGGTTTGAGTACTTATAAATGGGTTTAATTCAATTCATCGTTTTTGCACCATATAATAATGCCAGTTGGTATCCTTGTAATTGACTGTACTCAGCAAAAAGTGATCGAAAACATCGGACTCCTGTATTTTTTCATGTTCGCACAACTAGCATGTTATTCATCACATAAATTCTAAGGTCTCTTCTTTCTGCTCCTGTAAAACTAAAAATTGCTAAATATAATTTAGTTTTTGTAAAATGTTAGAAGATCAAACAACAAGTGCCAAATTGCAGAACGCAAGCAATGTAGCAGATTTTTCCAGCACAGCCTGGTCGGACTCAATCTCAGTACAATTGCGCACTTGATATTTCAGTAAGCAAACGTATTTTTCTGTTTACTGAGCGCTATTGCCATAATTCAGTGGTGCCAATGTTTGCAAAAATTAGCGGGATTTAAAAAAAGAGTCTAAATACAGTATGTACTTGCAATCAGAGGAGATAACGAGGCTTTTTAACAAACAAAAATTCACTATAAAGACGTATGGGCGGAAAATGTCGTGATTTTTTTCCCCATCTAATTTCTATGATATTTTGTACCTCTGCTTGTAATGAAAATTTCACGGACAAATAGCAAAATACAAATTTAATTTCAGGCTGTGCGCTCTCCGATTTTCCTGAAAACAATTGCATAATTGCTTGTTTTACTCAATCATTTGCATTTGAGCTAAGAATCGGCGAATAATTAAAAAATAACGTTATCGATTTTTTTCAACCAATCATAACTCAAAATGTCACTTGTATGTGTGAGACAAAATTGTTTGGAAAAAATAAGTAATTTTCAGACACGTTTTTTGTACAGGTTTTATATCAAAATATTAATTCTAGAAAAACTTACATGTACCCATGTAATATAGGAATGAGTGGCAGTTTTTTCAACGGACTGCAGAATACAAGCAAGTAATTTCAGAATGAATATTTTTGTATAGATTTTCTAGCCCAGTACACTTCTTCGAAGGGATGGTGGCTACCTTACATACATACATACATACATAGATTTTCTAGCCCAGTACACTAGGGAAACACATTTTTATTCAAAATTTAGCTAACATAAATATTTCATGATTTAAAGAAATCCCTCCATCTCATCATAATTTTATATAAAATCCTCTTGACCTCATCAAAGAATCACGATCCCCCAAATTTCTTCTAAAGATTTCAAAGAAACTCTTCTCAGCATCCACAGTATTCTCCCACAAATCCCCTAGGACTTCTCATTCAAAATAATTAAAATGCTGCCAGAGTTTTATTGGAAGTCTCTTTCCAGAATTCCCTGGCAATTATCCTTAGGTTTCTCAAGAAACCCTTTTCTGTATTGCCTTAGAATTCCGTTAAAAATCTGCTTAGAATTCCTTTAGAATTCTCCTCAGAATTAAAGCTATCCACAGAACTACTACTCTGGGAAATTTTAGTTGGGGTCCTAGAAAGAATTGGAAATCTCCGAGGACTTTATTTAGCAAAATGAGTAGACACCCTGCCTGCACGTAATAACTATTGATATTTCATCTTGAAATGAGCTCAGTTGATGATTAGCAAAACATTATTTGGAATCCATTGCTCTGTGTGGAGCAATGTTGATCATTTTAATCCCAACCATCTCTAGATGCACCGTAAAATTACATGAAATGCAAATTTTCGATCTAAGATACAGATGCTTAAGTGTCATATACCAATTGCCTTAGTTAATCAAAATTGTGAATTTGTGTATGTGTTTTGCCTTCTTCTATATTCGACATTATTTTGTTTTGACATTCTTATTAAAATTTGTTTGTTTTGTTTCAGATTCTGCCTTTTTGTATTCACGTTATTTACGATTATCGCTACAGTCACTGTGTTACTATCGGCTCCACACATAATAGTGCAATAATAACGAATTAAATTTTGATATAAGGACTTGTTATATAGGTGATCTATTAAAATTTATAAGATTTTTTAAAATGAAACATGTAAATCAAGTTAGAAGTTAATTAGATTATTAAAATAGATTTAAAAAAAAAACAAACGATCAGTTAAAAACTGCCGACAAATAATGATGAACGACAAAAAATCTAAAACATCATATGTAAACATCGGATGAATACGTATAGATAAAAAAGAAACGATAAAATGTATTTTTCTTAAAAACAGCAGATTTGACGGATTAATATCTTCTAATCGTAAGTCCTCAAGAGAACTCAAGCAACTGTTCCTGCAATCATTACCAAAGCACTATTGAGATACCGGTGAATAGCCTATTTCAGAGTCAGAAAAAGGATGTCTATTTTTGCATCTGCATCATGAAATACATTCCATCAGTGTTAAGTTCAACAGAAGTATCGTCACCGCAAAGATTCGAAGATTTAACCAATCATTCCAACAATAATGCTAGAATAAAATTATCGCGACAGGAAATGAATGACATAAGCACTATACTAGTAATGCAATGAATGAAAGGAATTAAATTCTTTCAAAATATAAAACAAAATATATATTGCTTTTTAAGACACACTCACACACAGATGTCGTATTATATACACACACAGACATTCCATAGTAAAACGATATAGTGGTTCACATAATTTGTAAAAATTTCTAGTTTTGTTCCTTATTGCAAAATATTAGACCTATATTTTATTTATTTTGTCATAAGGGTGACCATTTCCATGGTAGGGTGGTTCAAAAAACCGATTTTTTTCAGATATGACTCTTTTAAAAAAAATCATAACTTTTGAAACATTTGGTTTTAAAGATCAACATATCAATTGAACGGTAATTTAAAATATTTTTTTAGGAAAAAATATAATGATGTTTAGAAATTTGGATTTTTTTATTGAAAAACATTGACGGTATTTGATTTTTTTGGGATTCATGGTTTGTAGACAGAGGGCACAATATGTTTTTATATTTTTCCTTGAGGTTTTCGGTCTCTATGAATGTCATGGTAGTCTAGGATCAGAAATTGAAATAAGTATAGATAATGTGATATGTTACAGTCGATTTTTTGACCACCCTAACATAGAAATGGTCACCCTAATGACAAAAAAAACGGATCTACTATTTTGCAATAAGGAACAAAACTTTCAATTTTTACGAAATTATGAGAATCACTGTATCGCTTTGCTATGAAATGGCTGAGATATATGTATATAGAAAAGCCTGGTGGCATATATACAGTTGTTTTCGATTAAATAGCAGCGCATGCCGATTTTCATACAAAATGGTCAACTTTGACATGATGTAACATTGTTAACTTATGATCACTTGAGCTGAATCGTTCGCCAAAGAACTACAAATATGTTCAATTTTAGGATTACAAAATATTAAATTTTTGAAAGCACCTGCCGGAAAGTGAGACACCAGGTAAAATTGTTCAAAATAATAGCAGTACTAATAATTTTCAACAAATGTACATAATAGTTAAAAATGTTTAACATATTTGCAGCACGTAAATTTTTAAATAAAAAACTGCTATTATTTTGAACAATTTTACCTGGTGTCTCACTTTCCGGCAGGTGCTTCCAAAAATTTAGTATTTTGTTATCGTAAAATTGAACATATTTGCAGTTCTTTGGCGAAAGTTTCAGCTCAATTGATCATAAATTAACAAAGTTGAATCATGTCAAAGTTGACCATTTTGTATGAAAATCGGCATGCGCCGAGAAAAAATACAAAACTGAAATTGACCGCTTCAGATTTGAACCAAATTTGAAGCGGATGTTTATTTTGGTCTAACTTTTATGAATTCACATTTTTGTGCCAATCGAAGCACCCCTTGGCCTGGGGAGGATTTTCTATTTTTCGTGATTTTCAAGAAAGCACTACTTTCTTTTATCAATATCTTCGGAACAAACAAAGCTTGATTTACATTGTTGAATGTTTTTAAGAAAAAATTAGACAAGTAAACTTAATACAAATTCATTGTGTCTATGCAGTGTTGCCAATTTTTTTATATTTGCATTTAAAAACATAAACCATACTTTTTTTCGGAATGTGTACTTTCAGATTTCCATTCTGACATCACCATCGTGTTCCCCATCCTTTTTTTTTATATAAAAAACGCAACAAAATGTTATATGCGTATTTCCTGAGATACAGAATTTTGAATCAAAGAATTCCAAAAATTATGAGAAACTCTATTTTTTTCAATTTTATTTTCGAGCGCTCTTCTAAGTAAAACAACTAATTTTTCTCACCTATTGTTTCAAATATTTAAGAATGAAGAAAAAAACAGAAAGTTTCAAATATTTTTTTAAGCAAGAAAATATGAAATCAAAACTACATTGTTTCCAGTGTTGCCAAATTTTAAGATTACTTTTCCATCTTAAAACATTATTGGAATGTTTTGTGGATTTAATGTTTCGAGGATGCCGTCGGTCTCCGTTTCGCAATTTAGTGCCAATCACCGACAATCGAATGTACAGAGAGCAGCTTCCTCATATGTGTATGATATCGCACCCATCAACACAGATAGGCGGGAACCAACGACTTTACTTGTGGACAGTGATTATTAGCAAATTGATATGTTTCCTCTCTCAAACGCTCTCAATATCACGCGTAATATTGGAGCAAAATGTCATACAATTGATTTTACAAACTCCTTTGTTATTGCGAGACTATTCACAACGTGTAAAGTTGAAGCCTCGATTGAAGCTGGGAGTTGAATCGACGCAAAAATGATCCCGTTGCACCTCGTTTTTTAAGAAAGAGAAGGTTTACTAGTGCTATCTCTTTTTTTATCTTCATCGATGGCAGACACGAAGCGACTGCTACCAATCGTTATGGATGTTTCGGTTGCGTTCGGGTGTAGAGCAAAAATCATGAAACTCAATCTCACCACAGTTTGGAAAGATTTGCAGCTGCTGAGTTTTGTTAGCTTGATATTCTGAATTGCATCATCACAGCTTGCAATATCAACCGCAGTTGTGTGCTAGTTGATTTTTATCTACAAAAATCAAGCGTAATTTTGAGCTTTGATGAGATTTGATTTTTTTTTTAATTTTGTTAACACTGCTAGTGGATAAAAGTATTTGATTTAAATATTTGATTTGATAGCACCATTGCGTTCCACATACTTTTTACATAGAAGATGGATTAAACAACATAAGTTGAAAGTATAGGTGCCGTTGTATAGAGTTTTGGAAAAAAATATAAATTATGATAAAAAAGTGTTTATCCGCGTTATTCTAAAGCAAAAATGGTAATCGTATTAGAAAGCTCGCAAATAACAACTGTGGTACTGCATTTAGAAAACTAAGTTGAGGGCCAGCGTGAGCGGCGCCGGTGGTATAGTGGTAAGCGTAATAACCTCTCACCCCAGCAGGCCAGGGTTCAATCCTAGTCGGCGCCACCGGAATGTTCTGAGGCATAACATCTCTGATCATGCCTTTCTTCGGAAGGGAAGTAAAGCCGTTGGTCTCCGGTTCATGACTTGATGGGTCGATAGTTAGGGTCCAGGTGTGGGAGTTGCCTCCCTGGTGTCAAACAAATCAAAGAAAAAAAAAAGAGGGCCAGCGTGATGTTCCACTAGTGACGTAATAAATCCAATATAATAAGAAAGACGGCTTCAATCAATTCATAATAAAATCAGTTTCAAGTACCGTTAAACGGGGTATCTTTGATAATGCGGGTAACTT